AAACATGTTGATAAAGGCTTGTAATTCTTCACTCAGGCCACTAAGGAAGCTGGCCATAAAATATTCTTCAGAAAACTCCCCAGTGTTCATCATGAGCAAACAAGACCTCAGCTCTTCAAACTTTTCAACATAGTCATCATATGTCCCTGAATGCTTCAACTTGTTAAATTCCTCAATAACTCGAGATTCTTTAATTTCTTCAAACCTAGATGACACAATGTCTAGGAATTGGGGCCAAGATATGTCCAGAATCTTATGGGAAAAATTTTGAAACCATTGGGCAGCCTTGCCTTCAAAATGCATTGAGGCTAGAGTGACTTTCTGTTCATCTGGTATGTTGGGAATAATCCTGAAATATCCATTGCATTTCACCATCCAACTCCTGGGATTACTCCCATCAAATCTGGGAAATTCCACCTTAGGCATAGGATTTACGAAATGAATTTGTTGCTCTTGACTTGATGATTGGGACTGTGATGGTTGTTTAAAAACTTGTTGTTTTCCATGAACTTTGCATGAGTGATAAGAACCCAAAATTGAGCTGCCTTCCCCTTGAGATTTACTTTTTTCTAAATTCAGCAGCTGCAGTTGGATAGCAGCTAAGGTGTTGGCCAAGTTATCATACTTACCATCTAAGTTACCCATCTTCTCCTTGAGGTCTGCACTAACCTCTGCAATTTGATCCTGTAATTTGAGTTCAGTTGCTTCCCTTTTTAATGTTTCTGTAAGTAAAACTTGATCCATGCGTTTTTGATTTTCTTGCAGCTCTTTCAAACGAGTATTTTCTGCCATGGTAGGATCGACTGGCTCTGATGATACCAATTGTACTGGATTACAGTACTTCGTATGTAATTTGATTGTAATCAGTAGAGAATTGTATAGATTGAGGAAGATAAAGTAGGAGGTAGAGAGAGAAAGATATTGTAGAGAGAGAAGAGATGAATTAGTTGTAATTTTTCTTACTTCATTTCCCACGAAAAGCCCTACTTAACTATTACATGTGTTTTTTCTTCAAATGCCCTTAGTTCTTAACAGGCTTACAGCAAATAGCCCATAATAAAATAACTCTTAAATAGAACTACTATTGGGCCGAGTGAACATTAGCCCAAAACAATTAAATCAACTCTCTTTTCACAGTAACTCAAAAACCCGATTTCACAATAGCAGCAAACCCTAATTTCATTATCTCGTCTTCTTCCTTGTCTTTCTGCACCTTGTTGACGAACGTTTTCGGTCAACGGTTAAGATTGAAACTATTGAAAGCACAGGATTGGAAATATAAGAAAGCTAAGGTCTAATTGTGAATTTTATTAAGCGATCACGAGGTCGGCCTCTCGTACGAGGTCGGCCCTGATGATATCCTTACAATCCTTACAATTCTTAGAGAGAGAAAGTAGAAGAAAACTTATGTTAGTTGGATTTCAACAACCCCAAAATAAATGAGGTGGGCTGCTATTTATAGTATTCTTAAATGAGGAACTGTTCACCGGTCTTGTCGCACAGTAGACTTGCAGAGTAGTTCGGCGCCTCCCTCACAGTTCATTAATGCGATTTGAGGTTTTTCCAATCATTGCTTGCTAAGCATTAAATGCAGGCATGGGCAGAATTTAATGCTGACTGAACGACTGTGATATGCTGTCCCATCAACGAATGATGATCTCCCAAGTGGCGAATATTTAATGACGATC